ATCTGTATCACTTGCCTTTAGAAATGCGAATGTCCCATCGATATCAGTGATAGAATTATCTTGAAGCAGTGGTAGAAACTTTCTTACAGGCACCGTCGTTGTCTTTGGTTTTGGTTTTGGTTTTTGAATCTTTGGTTTTGCAATGTTTTTTGATTCCTGCTTACGATCTTTAAATACATAGATTGCTATCAAGAATACACCTACACACAACAGTATGGCAACCAATGAGATTATAATAATAATAGCTCCAGTCTTCTTATTTGAATTCATAGGGGAGATTAAAGGAGATTAAAAAATAAACAATAAAAATTGTTATGATCAAAGAAAGTAGACAGATTAGTGTCATGGTGTAACACCCCTACTCGATACGGAAGATGAACTTGAAAATGACTTAGACATCGATGGGTTTTGTTCCAGGTTTTCCTTTTATATCAATCTTAGTGTTGATGAATAACTGTCATACTGCGACATGAGTGATGCAACTGCTTATTAAATTGTTCATCATGGCTCCTAGATTGGGTCTTCCTATTGTTTACTTACTTTTGTATCTTTGTTTGTCAACTTGTAAGGTAATCAATGTCATCTACGATACTATTCAAACGTATTACTTTCCACCCTTTCCTCCAAATATTCCACCATCTTCACCGTCTTCTCCATCTTCACCACCATCACCTCCTTTGCCGCCTTTTCCTCCTCCTAACGACAATCCTAACAACAATCCTAACAACAATCCTATCACAATCACTAACACAATAGACCCCAATATTACACCCAATACAATCATACTCTTATTTTTACCATTCATATGGGCATATTTTTGATCAAATTAGTCTCTTCCACTATTCACCATCCTTTGACTTGTTCTCCTCCTCCAACTTGTATTCACTCTGCTTGCTCCTGCTATTGTTGCTTCCAATCGAGTAGATGTTCTGGTTGCTTCCTGCTGAATACGCGTTGTACTTCAGCCCACTTCCTGGCTGATACGACCCTGATCCACCAAAGTAGTTTGATGATCCAGGCGTGAAGTAGGCGCTATTCTGGTTTGATGCCGGCTGATAGTAGTTTGATCCAGGCGACTGGTAGAAGGTGGATCCAGGATTCACGTAGGACGAATTGGGGGAGTAGATGG